TTTTTTTTTCCAGTCTTCACCATGGTTAAAATAAAAGTCTAAAGCAGAATTATACATCATCTTTCACTATATAAAGACTATTATGCTATCTTATGACCTTATTTAAGTGTGATATATTCTCTGAGAATCTCATAATAATCCGAAGGACTCCCAGTGAAATGAATAATTTTAACTTTAATTTAATTTGAGAACATAAAGCTGACTAGGCCAGCACAGTAGGAAATATCTGAAACAGTTCTGCATCAGTTCCCTTATCCTTTGAGACACCACTTTCTGCCGGAGTGGAATAGTTCTTTTCAGGTTTTTTGGGGGGTTTTTTTGTGTGTGGGGGGGGTGGGTTTTTTTTAATGTCAGTACTTGTAATAATTTCTGCAGCGTTACTAAATGTCATCATTTGAGGTTTTCTCCAATTTTGTGGATGTTATCATTTGGATAGTTGTTTGGTGCATTTAATTTTTAGCATATTCTTGACTGAAGAGTAAAATTGTTTACGTTTACATTGGAACTCCATCTTGTGGTCAAACGTTAATGCTGCACAGGTGTTCTTCCATACCACAAGTGGTACTTGATATCAACTTCTTGGGCGCACTCTTGTTTCTTGTTAATAGGCTGTGAACGTGGCTGGTGTGGGTCCCTTCAGCGAGGCAGTGTTTTGCCTGACGCCCTGCACTGTGCCTGCTGCTGTCAGCAACATATACGTGCTCAAAGAGTCTGAGCTGCGAAGTTACGATACTCCAGTGGATGCGGATGAAGATGAGGATGAGGAGGAGAGTGAGTCCCGGCCACAGCCGGTCTACTCTCCGTCCACCTGCCTGGGTATTTGCTGGGACCCTCCATGCGATCACGGCTCTGAGATCAATTCCTACCTGATTGACATTGGAGAGCGACAACCTATTGTTGTTGGTCCGGTCACCAAACACGTCATCCAAAATCTACAGCCTGACACCAGCTACAGGTTGGTGCAAGTTTTAAAGGTAGCATCGTAGTTATGCTACACCACTAAGAACTTTCCAGATGTAAGGCAGAAAGAGCAGTTTTTAAATTATGTTTCTGTGCTCATGCGGAATAACATGTGATACAAATTGGACACGCCATGCTTTTAGATTCACTTGGTCTGTGATGCTTTGTTCCAAAAGATGTCAAAGGGGACAACTTGGGCAGATGTAATTGGTTACATCTGTAAACCTTGTCTATTGTGAAGAGGGCTGGCAGCTGTTTAGAAAGCAGTTGGGTTCCAGACGAGACATCAAACATTTTTTGTTGGCTGGATATTTGAATGTGTTTTATTATTCTAAACGAGACAGAAATACTGACAGAGTTCATGGATTAACATTTTAAGAGGGACTGAGATGAATGAATTTGTTGTCAACTTTTAGTGAATTTGTACAGAAAATGTAAAATCAAGGACATAAAGGTCCTCTGGTTGTCACTGCAGTGTTTTACAACACCTTTCCAGCTCTCTGGTGTCATGTCTTCTTCTTCTTCTTCTTCTTCAGGATTCGAATCCAAGCCCTTAATAGCCTGGGAGCAGGCCCCTTTAGTCACACCTTTAAGCTGAAGACAAAGCCCCTGCCCCCACAGCCCCCCCGCTTGGAGTGCACCGCCTTCAGCCACCAGACCCTCAGGCTCAAGTGGGGTGACGGCCCAGCCAAAGCCACCTCAGATGCCCTTCAGTATCAGCTGCACATGGGGGACAAGAATGGCAGGTTAGTCGGTCATTATTCAGGTGGGAGAAAGCGATCTGACAAGAGATAAACCAATAAGAAGGGAGACTGGAGTTTGAGCAAAAGCTGCAGATAACTGTATTCAGGAGGGCGGGGTGATTGAAAATAAAGCAGCAGACAAATTGCGTTGGAAGCTGAAGGAGACAGGAACTGATGATATGCCTTTTGCCACTCTGTAGTTTCAGATAGAGAAGTCACTCATGCCGTTTGCTTTTTCTAATATTTATCCTTTGCTCATTAAATCCTTTCTCTTTTTCCATGTTCCTGTCATTGCAGATTTATATCCTTGTATAAAGGACCATGCCACACACACAAAGTCCAGAGGCTTAATGAGTCTACCTCTTACACGTTCCGCATCCAGGCCTTTAATGAGGCGGGCGAAGGGCCCTTCTCCAATGTTTACACATTCACTACCCCACGTTCTCCTCCAGCTCCTCTGAAAGGTACAGTGCCACATTTTTTTCTTTCTGTCCTAAGCATTAAACAGTTCCTACTATCTTTACAGACACTCACTGCTTGACACTGTGTGCTCATCCTTTAACCTGAGGTGACCCAAACTTGACTTGCATTTGAGTTAGACCAAACTGCCAGAGATTCACTCGCCTGCTCTCATCAAAAGTCGTGTAGATCAGCTCTGTGGTCTGGTCTCTGCCAGCCTCTGCAGAGCCTCTTTTGATCCTACGCGTTGAAGTCAGTAATGAGGATGTAGGCTTTATTCTCAGTGCGGCACCTCTTTTGAATCAAGCAGTCATGTGCCAGATTGTCAGTGTTACTCAACACTGCTGGTCTCCCCACACAGTGAAGTGGACTCTCAAATATAGACAGTTTGAATTTAGACAAGCCATTTCAGCATTGAGTTTAACGTCTGATATCACAAAGGCACAAAAGACTAAAATGCTACTTGCCGCTCCATCTCTTCACGCATTACCAGGCCACTTTCAACCAGTCCAGTACAACCACGTATTTTTTATTGTTTTTGCTCAAATTGCCACCTACCTAAGGAACAGCGTGACTCACAGTTAGGTACTCTGCTAATGGGGGAACAATCACATTAAGTTCTCTAAAATGCACTTTTTTTAATCCATCAGCTTGAGTCACTGTTCATATAAAAGCAAGTACTCTTGTATTAAAGCTAGGAGTGTCTGAAGAAGCTCCATTTTCAGAAATCCCCCAAAGCTCGCATTCAAAGTGGGAGTTTACTTCATGTTTGAAAAGTGTTTGGGAACTTTGATGTCTCTTACTATTTTGTCAACAAAGCTACATCCCGTTATTTTGCAGAATACGCATTATGCGGGGTTCACTTCAAATGGTGTTTTGGTTACTTTAATCCAGAGAAGCCTTTTTACACATCTCCATTGCAGTAATGTACCACCCTTCAAAGGGAATCTAAGATAAATAGCAGTTCAGTTTACCTGTGTTTAAATGAAGCCATTTTAGCCTGGATATAACCACCGGTAGCGTTTTAGATGTTGAGTAGCCAGAATTGACCGTGTTTGGACCTGAGGGAGGACTTGGATCAGTGTGCAAAGCAGGCTACTGTGCTAATTGCAAACACACATGGCTGCTAACTAGTGTTAAGTAACACACTAATAAAATACCAGATTTTAATCTTCAAAACTCAAGTGCAATTTGTTGCAGACTTCTTGGACAGGCACACAGCAAGACTGCATTTATTGATTATTGGTTAGATATTTCACTCACATTAAAGTTGCCATCAAGGGGAAACTGTGTCAGGCTCTAAACATGTATTTAAATGCTCTAAATCTGGCCATTTAACATGGGAGTCCATGTGGATTGACTGCAGTGTTTGATATTTTAGCACTGGCCTAATTTTTTTTGATGCAGAGGGTGTTGCATGTGTGTACCTTTCTAATGCTGTCAGTGATGTTTTGTTGTTTTTTTTGTAGTTGGGTTTTTTGTGGGGGTTTTTTTTACATTTCTATTAGTCTATTTTAAAGCAGTTAAATAAGTAGTCGCCTGTATTGCTTGTCTTCATCACAGCTCATTTTTTCCCCTCTTTCATTTCCAACTTCACCCTCCAGCCCCTAAAGTGGAGCGTCTGGATGATAACTCCTGCGAAGTCACGTGGGAGGCCCTGCCGCCTATGAAGGGGGACCCAGTAATCTACAGCTTGCAGTGTATGATAGGAAATTCAGATTTTAAACAGGTACAGATGTTGTCGTGTTAAGGTTTTGTACCCCTCCTTTGTGTTTTATGTCCTTCTGTGTTAGCTTCATGTGACCCACCATTCATCACAGTGGCCTTTTTCTATGCAGAGTGGGATACAGATGGATCCCAGGGCCTTGATGCTTTTGCTGTGGCTTTGCAGCACTCTGTATTACTCACTGCTGGCTTTAAATTGCCCATTATGCAAAGGTCATTGATCCATGAGGTATACCAGGTGTCTAACCCCTGCCACCACATTCATCCCTCTCAATGGCCTGTGGCCATGTTAACATGAAATAATGGTCTCTGCAGGCTTATGCTAATCTCACCACATCATATATGGCAATTGAATCGGGACGCTGAAATATATGGCTACCATCCCCCTTTGTTTCCCTCTTTGTTAGTCTTGGTGGCTTGGATTCAAAGCCCATATTTAAGAAAGTAATTTTTGTATCACTGCTAGTTTGACATCCAGTATTTAAATAACACTGCTCATATCCTCCTCCTGTAATTTTGTGTGCAATTGTTTTTAATTTTGATTTTATGTGGTGGGCTTAATTAAAGTTTAGGCTTCAAATGAAACATTTGTTCACTCATTAAAGAGAATCAAAGAAAGTGTCACTACGGCAACCAAGCAGATCAGGTTCACGAGGTCCTCTAAAAACTTGTGGGTGTGTCAGCTGGACAGACGGCTGAGGCAGATGGCTTTCCACGTCTTCCAAGGCGAAAAAACAGGACAAGTCTAATGAAAATAATCAAAAATACTCTGTCAACTGGAAAAATAATAAAAGTTAAAAGAGATACAAGTGTATTTTCATTATTTCTGTCACTGAAGTTACTCAGAAGCAGTAAGAAAGATGAATTTTCATCTTCATTGTTCAGTACAGCTTCTTGCTTCATGTTTTCTATAATTTTATATACTATTTTTAATCTCTTCCTCTCTCCTGTTCTCAGGCTTACAAAGGCTCTGCCACAACCTTCCATGTTCAGAACCTGCAGCCCAACAGTGACTATCGTTTCCGAGTATGTGCTATCAGGCAGTGCCAGGACGCCCCGGAGCTGAGCGGTCCCTACAGCCCCACGGTGACCCTCTCCTCCCAGCGGAATGATGCGGCGCTGGCCAGCAGCGCGGTCAGCTCAGGATCCAGGATCGGCACAGAGTCCACCCGAGCCAGACAGAGCCTGAGCGACGAGCAGTGCGCTTTCCTCATCCTCATGGTTTTTGCCGTCATCGCCATCCTCATCGCTTTTGTCATCCAATATTTTGTCATTAAATGAGCAGTCTGCACCCCCCAGCTTCAGGGTTATAGCTTTACTCTTCCCTGCCCCCTCTGTCTCTCTGTTGTTTTGTATTCTTTATTTTGTACTTACTATTCTCCAGTTTCAACGGAGTAATTGCATTAGCCGAACTGGGGCGCAGCAGGAGGATGGGCGGGTGAGTGGGCGCTAAATGGAAGTTATAAATTGAGGATGTAACGTCTCATTTGGCACCTGTGATACCTTCCTGACTCTCCTTCCTCTGTCTCCCCGCTCCAAGGTTGTGGTATCTGTTGAGTCCAAATGTCTAATCCATCACGATTAGCTTCCTGTGCAAAAGGAACTCAGAAAGCATAGGGATAGGGTTTGCTTTGGGGAAGGGCTGGGGAGAAGTGGCGCATATATATATATATATATAAAAATGTATAGAAATAGTCATTATTTATATTTCCATTTAAGTGTCCAGTAAGAAACAGTTTTTTGATAGATGTGTTCCAAAAATAGTCTGTAGGTGTAAACCTATGTGCTATTTGATCCTGGGACCTGGTGGGCCAGTGTTTGCACAGTGAGGTGTGTCCAGATGTGTTTACTGTATGTAGTTTGTGCCACTGCGGTACACGGCTGGGAGGGCCTCAGGGCCACACGAAGGGACGTGATTCCCCATGCTGGAGTTTGTTCGAGAAGTCTAGGGAAAGAAGAATCTGAAGAGTTAACCTTGTTCACATTAGTAGGACGTTCATTTAGCACTTTCCAACCTTTTTGATGTTCAGAATGTTTAAGGATGCAAAAATGACTGGAGAAATGTTAGTATATTTTTGTACAGTGAAGATCTGTAAGTTTGAGGGGGAAAAAATGCTCAGTATAAAGTTAGAAAACAAAAACCAAACTAACAGTGAATTCTAATTATTTTTACTATCATATAGTTATATTGTAGCTTGTTTTTACAATCATGCAGCTGCTTTACTCTGAGATATTGTTGTTCAGCACAAAAAATGTATGCTTTCTCGTATGTTCTGTTTTATTTCGTTCTCCCCGGTAATTGATTTTGCACCTTAGTGAAAGAAAACCTAGACTGACTGCGTCTTGGTCTTGTGATGCATTTTATAGAACACACTTTGAGATTGTGAAAGCCCTTCATGTGTTTTGGGTGTTTTTAAAAGTTGTTGAATCACATGACATGTCACTGAAACAGCTAATCAGCAAAAATGAAAAAAAAAAATAAATAAATAAAAAAAGGATTTAAAAAAAGAAAACCAGAGGGAAAAATATCACAAGTTGTTTCAGAGGCCTTAATTGGAGAGGGAAAAAACTTTGGGAGATTTTTTTTTCTTTTTCTTAATTTCTCTTCAGTTCTTATGGTTTTCTTTTAGTGTTAGAAAACACTACAATGTGTTTCATTTTACTTTTGCAAAATTCATTTGGTGTTTAGTAAACATGTATAATCATGAGAGAAATGGAAAGTAGTTGTATGTATTAAATTTATTTTGGTTTCTGTTTTTTCAAGTCATACATGTGTGAAGTATATTTTTTTATGATATTGAAGTAATATAAGTTAATACTCTCCAGAACATTAAAAGAAGAAAAAAATCCTGTCATGAATCATTGAAAGCTGAAACAAAATGTGTTATCATGTACTTCCTGTGAATCTAAATTTGCCTTTTCTCTGTGTGTTAAGTATTTCTAACAGGTTGCTAAGCTGAGTTTTCAGTGGTAATCTGGCTGTAGAGTCTAGTGATTGGTTTTGGGCAGATAACTGCTGTTGCAACTTTCAAAATGAAATGCAGGTACCTTGCAAAACATCCTGGATAATTACATGATTTGGTCCTTAAGACATTCTGTAAATGTCTCCTCTTTGTCATTTAAAAAAAAAGAAAAAAAGATTCAAAATTCCTATTTTTGATAGCAATTGCAAAGCGTGCCATTTTAACACCTCTTCACCCGGGGGCTTACTACCTTTGGCTGGGGAGATTAACAAAATGCTACAAAAATGAGTAAAATATGCACAAAACAGACCATTTTTATGTAATTTTAATGTTTGCAGTTACCTCATACACCGTACATTCCAAAATGAAAATTTGTTATACTATACATACTACCAGACATATCACTTTACAATGTTCGTTATGGGAAAAATGTATAATCATAGATATGTATCTAAAGTGTATCTGTATAGTCATGATATCTACAAAGGATCCATGCACAATAAAAGATTTATAATTCTTTGTCCTGCTTCAAGTTTGTACATGTGAGTGTTTGATTACCTATTTGTGCACAACATGACTTTGGCAGCACTTGTTTCTGAACAACTGGCTTGTGTTTGAGGGAGGGAAAGAGCACCTCAACACCCTTCTTTATATCTCCTGATGGTTATAAAAATTTGATCAGTAAAGAACTGCTGCTTCTCTGGTGGTAAGGGTGAAAATCTAAATTTCAATGCTGTTCTAGCCACATCAAAAAAGAAGCAGAATTATGGGAAAAGCTATAAGGGACTATATTTAGATTGCTATACCCTCCTTAGTGGCTGAATAGTGTAGTGGTTAATATATTCACTGGTTAGAGGCCTGGATGACACACCAATCCCTAGGAGGGTTGCATCAGAAAGGACAAAAAAAAAAAAGCCCAAACAAACGTGGATCCATCCACTGTAGCAACACCTTGTGAGTGAGCGATCAGTCAAAATAACAGTTCAGACTCCTCCTTTTGCCTTAAACTGCCTGAATTCTTAGTGGCATCGATCCAACAAAATGCTGGAAACAATCCTCGTGAGATTTTGGCCCATTCTAACATCATCACACAGTTGGTGCAGATTTGTTGGATCTCCTATTTCAATGCATCCCAAAGGAGCTTTATTAAATTGGGGTCTGGTGACTGTGAGGCAATTTGAGTACACAAACTCCTTTTCACATTCACAAAACCAGATTCGGGTTGTTTGAGGTTTGTGACATGGCACATTGTCTCTGTGGAAACAGCCATTAGAAGATTACAGCTACACTGTGGTTATAAATAAAAGGGTGTGCTCATCAGTGAAACTCTGGTGGGCTGTGGCATTTAAAAGATTCTCACTTGGCACTAAGGAACTCAAAATATGCCACGAAAACATTCCCCACACCATAGCACAAATTCTGACCTGAATGTTGCAGCAGAAACTAAAACGTCACCATTCGATGTTTTTCTAGCCTTTTATCATCCAGTTTTGTGAGTCTTTGTAAATTGTAGCTTTTCTATTCTTAGCTGCTGTAGCCCATCTCCTTCAAGATGTGACACGCTGTGCATTCAGGGATGTTTTTCTGCATACTTTAGCTGTAGTAAGTGATTATTTGAGTTACTGTGGCCTTCCTGTCAGCTAGAAGCAGTCTGGCCATTCTTCTCTGACCTCTGACAAGGCATTTTGCCCAGAGAGCTGCAACTCACTGCTTATACCCGCTTCTCTTTCTTTTATCATCCTCTGTAAACCCCAGATGTAATTGTGTGAGAAAATTCCAGTAGACCAGCAGTTTTTAAAATACAGACCAGCTCATCTGGCGCCAACAATAATGCCACATTTCAACCACTAAAATCACATTTCTCCCCTATTCAGATACTCAGTTTGAACTTTAGCACCTCAGTGCCAAAATGCATTGAGATTGTGGCATGTGATTGGCTGATTAACATCTCTAATGAAATGGCTGGCAACGGTATTTACAGCTAAATATAAAAACAGAAAAGATTAAAAAGATTAAAAGATTACAAGTTTATTAACATTCTTCAACGTCCTGATTTTTTTATGTTTATAATTCTATCGTATAAACATCATAAAATATAATAATAGGGACACTGAAGCTCAGTCTAGTGTGTGAAGTTGTGGACATGGGGGACTTTTTGTTCTCTGCACAAACCTACCTAAACAATACAACTAAAAATGGCGTAATTAATGAAGGCGAAAGCGTGCTTACTCATCTCGGTTGCCGCATTGTGGACAACATTGGCTGCTGTTGAAAGATGGATTGGAAACCCTTTCAAAACAAGCAAACGAGGCCTCCCTGTGACAGCGCAAACAATGATAGAGGAGAGAGCTTCACACTGACCCTTTCTTAGGTCCGACTGGTTCATCTGGTCATGGGCCAGCTCAGTGTAAACACACAAATACACCCTTGTGTCAGTGTGTCTCTTTTCTGAAAGGTTCGTCGAGTTGTAATGGATGTGGTGGCTGTGAACCAACAGAGCGAAGCAGCGTGGGGATAAATGTTAGCTTGGAAGAAATATCAGAAAACCGGTGTTTCAGGAAGTGAAAGTACCCCTCTGCTCTCATGTCTGCAATTAACTTCTGGAATGTAATTTTCCACAAGAATCAGGACAGTTCAATTCACATAGAGGTAGCAGTTTTCTAATATTCATACTTATCAGCACTCTCCAAAGCCTTGAAACGCTCTCTAAACCTTATGGATTAGTGGGACGTGGAGTCAAGAACTGAGGTCAATACCCTCTGGAGGTCACCCCAAGTTAAACTTTTGATTCTTCTATTAAAAATCCTAACTAAGCAGAAAAGTCAAAGAAGAAAAACCCTTCGCTGTCCCTTCTTCACCTTCGTTGTTGAAGTTTAAGGTTTGTTAGAACAAGCCTGAGATGATACCTAACTCAGAGAAAGATGGGGCTGGTGGACAGCGGAGAAGATAAAGAACATATTTGTCAGTCACTACTTCCAAACAGCTCAGCAAACGCACACTGACTGTCGCATGAATCATTGAATTAAGAGCAATTTTTATATGTTTATGTCTTGTGGGTTGATGTTCAATCCAGAATAATATCATCCTCCGTCTTTTGCCTTTTACCATCATCTGTCCTGTTGTCATTTGATTATAAAGATTACCCAGGCACACACACACAAACAACAGACACCCATGCTGTTACTCCTGGACTCCTGAGGGTGCTGTGGAGGAGGAGCTCCTTTCTTCATCTCTCACAGCTCAACCAGTTATTGAGCACCAGGACAGGCTCTGCCACTTCAATGCAAACCTCCTGCCACCGCTGCTCTCCTTCGGCTCACACAGAACCACAACAGGGACTGCAAAAAGTTTCAACTTTGAAAGATCTCTCCATTTGCGAGGTAACAGCACCAGCAAAAATCTATTTTGCACCATTAAGTTTCCTTTTAAGGTTTAATGCATCGTACTAGTTGGTTTGCATGACTTACTATAACCTGCAGTGCTTTATTTATTATGTTGTTTTGCGTAAATCTTGTATTTATTTTTGTTAGAGTTTAGTTTTATATTTTTCATTGACATGCGGTGCAATGCTTAAAATCAGTCTGTGTCGTTGTGGCATTTTTATTATGTGCAGTGAGTTTATTTATGATTTATCCAAATTCAGTATTCATATTATGTCTGCAGTAATGAAAAGTCTACGGCATTTGGTTTGGTTCTTTAATATGTCATTTTTGTCTTGTCAGTGGGTCCCTGAAACCAGATTTTTGATCTTTACTGTGCCAGCACCTAATGAAATTGGCATGCCCTGGTCAAGACCTCATGCTGGTGGAGCAGAGGACATGGACAACATAGATGACCACCACTACGAGGGTTCCCTGTTCCCCACCTCCACCCTCATCCCCGTCACTGTCATCTGCATCCTTATTTTCATTGTCGGGGTGACAGGCAATACCATGACCATCCTCATCATCCAGCGCTTCAAGGACATGAAGACTACCACCAACCTCTATCTGTCCAGCATGGCAGTTTCTGACCTCATCATCTTCCTGTGCCTGCCATTTGATCTGTACCGCCTGTGGAAGTATGTGCCCTGGCTTTTTGGGGAAGTCGTGTGCCGCTTATATCACTACATCTTTGAGGGCTGCACTTCGGCCACGATCCT